GCAAGGACGTCTACTTTATTTACAATGACGAGCTGCCCCTCGGCCCTCCCTTCACCGACAGCGTGCGCAAGGCGGCGCTCAATGAGCTGCAGAAGCTCAATATCAAGACGATCCACAACACCAAGGTCACGAGCGTGAAGACCGAGGCCAACGGCCAAAAGACGCTCGAGCTCACGGACAAGAGCGGCAAGAAGACGACGCTCCAGACGGACGCGTACCTGCCGACCGTCGGCGCCATCCCCAACACCGCTTTCTTGCCGTCCAACATGCTCGACCCGCCCGGGTACGTCAAGCAGGACAAGAGCCTGCGCGCGGTCGGCCACGACAACATCTTTGTGGTGGGCGACGTCGGCAACCTCGAGGGCGGGTACGGGCGGCTGGCGGACCTGCAGGTGCAGCACGTGGTGAAGAGTATCCAGGCTCACTTCACGGGCGCGCCCAGGCCGGCGCCGTACGTCGTCGACCCCAAGGTCGTGGCCGGCATCACGCTTGGACGGAGCAGGGCTACCGGCCAGATGGGAACGTGGAGGTTGCCCAGCATCATCATCTGGGCGTTCAAGGGCCGGTATATCGGCACTGACTACGCCAAGGATTACGCAGCGGGATCAAGAACCATGACGGTCACCAAGAACTGGTAGAGAGAGAGAGAGAGAGAGAGAGAGAGAGAGAGAGAGAGAGAGAGAGAGAGAGAGAGAGAGAGAGAGAGAGAGAGAGAGAGGCATGAGAACCGGCTAATGGTAGATGCATACTTTGGTGTTCAGGCGCTTGTGATCATGGAAGGGGGGAAAGCACTTCGTAATGTAGGGCTGGCAGGCTACTTGAGCGAGTCGAGCCCGCGGAGTCCAACAATCTTGGCTTTTGATGTTTTCGGTGTCATTCCGCGTGGCAATGGAGTTTCCTGATTTCTCTGGTATGATGGTATTCCTCGACTGGTTAGACTAGACGGGATTGAATGATAATCTTATTCCTGAGCATGCGTGATCAACGTGGTGATGGTAACACCGGAACGGTGAAGGTTAGGTTGAAGGGCGCGACCCACACAATCCAAGTGGACACTGTGGATTTGGCAGAAATCTCTGCAGTGTCGTACAGTGCCGACGAGCAGTGAGAGAGATGTGTCTTGCACGGTAAGACCGATGGGTCGGGTCCCCAGAACGGCCTAGCGCCGAATTCCAGCAGCTTCAAAAGGGCGGCTCGCTGCGAAAATTCTTTCTCTCTTTCTTCTTCTTTTTCTTTTCCTTAGATCAAAAAGTAACCCAGAGCTGCCACGACCTACACCCAGTCTTTTCTCACGGTGTCGCGTTGCCTTTTCCTCTCTTCGGAGTTGGATCGCTCTGCAGATTAAAATTCCCTGGATTATAGGAAGTCTCTCCCCAGGCCCATTTCACGGGCGGTGGGTGAGGGATGCTGTTGATGGGGGACATGCCATATTCTCAAAACTGGCATGGGTCGTAAATTCTTGTCCGCGCTTGGTGCTCGCCACGATCGTCGAAAGAAAACCCGACGCTATCTTTGAAATAGTGAGACCTGTGGTGCCAGGAACCCGGATAGCCGCTCACTGACTCCTAGCCGTGGACTTGATTTCCGTTTGCGAATGGTAGAGATATGACGGTTTGGAGGAAAGTGCCGACTCTCTGACCTTTGCTCCTACGTTGGGTAGCCAGGAACGGCGCCGACAAGTGATGCAAGAATGCCCTGAGCCTCATCCCCTGTCTACCTAAGTTGACGCCATGCTGATGGGCTAGACTGGATTGATGCCATGATTGCCATTCCCTACGTGCCGTAACTGGATTCAAACTTTGTATGAAAGTGGTGGAAGGCAGAGAGCATGCCAATGACACCTCTCGTCATTTTGGAGGAAAGGAAGGTGCAGTCAGCATGGCCTGCACTTCGTACCTTACCTAAGATACTCCTCAGCGAACCATGAAGAGAAGAAAGGTGGATCCGCTATTGTAGGAGTTCCTGCCGTAAGGGAGCCTCCGTCCCTCCTGGTTCCTTCCATTCCCAGTGCTGTTGCCGTGAGGGTCGATCGAAATCCCGAAAGGACGAGACACAGCCGTGAGAGCCTCAGGTACAAGGGAGAAAGACCCAGGCACGAGAAAACAGCGGTTTGGGTTCTAGACTGTTAGTCCCGAATTTGCACGTGTCTTGGTTTCTGAAGACAAGTCGACAGACGGTTGAAAGCGTTCCCATAGGCCCTCTTTCTCGCGCTCTCTCTCTCCCCCTCATCCACTCTTTTCCTTCCGTTGAGGTGTAACCATGCCACATGTCTTAGCCCCTGGCTGCATTCTTGGCCATGCTCTCCGAGCAATGCTGCTGCGCGTCAACGCCCCGGCACCCGTCTGAGTCTCTGATCCCGGCAAACACAATATGTGCCCTTGCCTCTTTTCGTCTGTCGTCGTTGCCAAGCGGGTGATAGTATCCCCACCTCTAGCAATCAAGCAACACCAAGGAATTGGAAGATGGTTATCCTCAATCCGACTTCTCGGATCAGCCGCACCACCTCTAGCATCCACTCCGGCCCTCAAAGGTGGATATTACCGCATGCTTTGCCTCTCGCGCAGGATGGAAAGGACATGTCTGATGTCAACGGCTCCTACCAAGGGGACCATCGTCGTCCGGACCCGGGCACTGAGGAATGTACCGCAATGTCCCGGCATTCCCACCAAGATGCTTGCTTTCATACTCCGTACAGCCAGTCGAGGAGGGACAACGTACCTAGGGGCCCGTCAGGCCAGTGAGTGTTCCAGCTAATCCCCTTCTTGGTTCTTGGCTCGTTCTTTTGCCGTGCTCCTGACTGTCGCTGATCTCTCCCTATAAGACGAAGAGGCCGGCCGTGATGAAGGAAACTCTCGGATAAGCTCTTTCGTTCCCCAGTTCTCTCTCTCCTCCCCCCCGTCCCCCGGTCTTCCCCCCAGAAGAACTCTCGCTTCACCCGGTCATTCGTTGGACTCTGTCCCCTCACATTCGTTCCGTAATTCCAGGATAACCTGTCTGTCGCTCGTTCCGTACAGCTCAATCTAATCCCTCGCTCGCCCATACAACTAATTTCAAATCCTCAAACCATATACACCTAATCAACTCTTCCCCCAAGCTAGTACTAAACAACAGTCAAGATGAGGTGAGAACAGTATCCCCTTCTCGATACAGCACCATCGCCTCTCGTATAAAACAGACTTGCTGATACAACCTTCAGTTCCGGAGCCCTCACCACCTCGGCCTTCTTCACCTGCGACCCGGCAGTCACGGTCACCGCCACCGCAACCACCAATGTCTACACCACCGTGTACACGACAACGGCTCTCGCCGCCAACCCTTCCACGTCGTGGATGGCCACTTACACAGTGACCGAAGTCTGCACTGGCCAGCCGTGGGAGTACGTGACCAAGGACATCCCCCCTTGCTTCGCCCCCACCACCGTCTACTGCGAGCCCTGCGCCCAAAAGACCATCCCCATCATCTGCCCCATCCCGACGCCTACCGCCAACGTCGTTATCAACGGCAACGGTGTCACCATGAACGCCAACCCCGTCATCACTGCCGCCCCCTACGGCGTGTACGGCTCCTACGGCTCCTACAGCAACGGGAACGGCCAGGGTACCGGCAACGGAGGCGGAGCCAACAACAACAACAACAACGGAGGCGGCCAGAACGGCGGTGGCTCCAACAACGGTGGCTCCAACAACGGTGGCTCCACCCCTGGCGGCGGTGCTGGAGGTAACGGCGGTGGCGCCAACGGCGCTGCTCCGTCTGGCAGCCAGGGCGCCGGAAGCTACGGTGTCTACGGCAGCTACGGCTCTTACAACAACGCTGCCCCTGGTGGCGGCTCTCCTGCCCAGCCCGGTCAGTCCGGTGCTCCTGGCGCTTCCGGAGCTCCTGGTGCCGGCGGTGCCCCCGGTGCGTCTGGCGCTCCCGGTGCCGGTGGTACTCCCGGTGGAACTCCCGCTCAGTCTGGTGCTCCTGGTGCCCCTGGCGCCTCTGGTGCTCCCGGGACCGGCGGCTCTTCCGGTGGTGCTGGAGGTGCTGGTGGTGCTCCCGGTGCGTCTGGCGCTGGCGGCTCTGGTGGCGGTGCCTCTGGCTCAACCGCCACGGGTGGTGCTTCCGGCTCCAAGCCGTCCACAGTCCAGGTCGCCTCGGCACCGTCTCTCAAGCAGAGCCTCGGCCTCCTTTGCGGTATCGCAATGGCTGCCGGCCTTACCATCTTTGCTTAAGACGACCACTACTCTCTAGTCTTCTGATTCTCATCCATGGCATCTCCCCATTTACAAACGCCGCGTGCTCGCGTCCCCAAAGACTAAAAGAGAAGAGAAAAAGGAAAAAGAAGGGGGTTTCACGGAGAAAGGGGTTCAAAATAGAAATACGGGTATTTTGATCCTTGTTCCTGTGTAAATCCCTTTTTGGCTATGATTCCCGGGAGTTTTCCACGATTTCTCTCATACATGAAAGAAAGTTGTCATTTTGTTTTTACTAATTGGCGGCATTTGTGGGCTACTGCTGCCCACAGCGGAGTTGACATAGGTGGACAAAGGGCCCTAAGGTGTTGCGATATTATTTTGAATCAATAACGTTACTTGTTGTGTTTTTTTAGATTGAAGTACGAATACAGGTTTTTCCTTTTGGTTGTTTTGCTATGATCCCCTTTTCTCTCTCTCGCTTGATGTGGTGAAGTTGAATGCTAGGTAGTTGGATTCCCCGCGCTTTGATCACCGCCAAGCCCGTTGACAGAATCACGCTATGGGATGACGTTGCGAGGGGTAAAAGTGTGGTAGGACAAGGGAAGGCGAGTGCCAATTTCAAGCCAGCTTTCATTTCGTCGTGAAGGCTTCCGTTAAAAAAAAACCAAAAAAAAAAAACCCCCCCGAGAATGATTGAGATACCAAAGAAAAACGCCGCCCAATTTCAATCAAAAGGCTTGTGTGTATCCAGGCTTTCTTTAGTGGTGCTTTCCTTTTGCTTTGGGTCTCTGCCACAGGCGTTGTTTTTGGTCGCGCTTTGTTTTCTCATTGAAGAATGCCGTCTTCTCCCTTGCTACGGTGCTGCTGGCGGATGAATTCCTCCACCTGGACGTCGTCGTACGGCCGTTCGGGTGGTCCTGGAATTCCTGGACGCGAAATCTTTTCCTCCTTTTCCTCCTGCGGGTTACCGAGGATCTTGGCGGCGGCTGGAATGTACTGTGTCACTTTTTTTGTGGAAATTGGTCCATGATGAGCTACACGTATTCTCGACAAATTGGATGGAGGAAACACTAAGGGGGGGGACTGAAGTGGCTAGGACGGAGCTGGGCTGGGCTGGATGGTGAGGGTTATGCTTGGAAATTGTAGAGGTTATTGGAACTGCTGTGATGTGTTTTGACATGATTGCAAAGGCGGGACGGGCGTGACGCTTTACCAACCTTTTTCGACAATAGGGTTCTGCTTGGGCTCTTCTTCGGATTTACGGGCGTCGTGGGCCGCTTGATCCAGCTTCTGCTTGAAGCTCAACTCGCGGCCTTTGTGCGTGATCTGAGGCTCAGGCGCGAACTTGCTGTTGGGTTCGGCGGACATGATGGGTGGCTGTGCTGAGACTTAGTTGATTGGTGTCGGGTGATAGGCGGGAAGGGGATTCGGATGCGATGATGGTGTGGTCGTCAACGTGGTAGGGCTGAGACGGTGGATCGATGTGCGATATCAGATGGGCCGCGGAGGAGAGAGACGATAGTGACAGTAGGGCGATAGTATTGAATAAGGGTACTGAGTTGCTTGTGAAGTCAAATTGAGTTTCTCGAGTGTGGCGGAGCAACAGGCATTGATAGACTAGAATGTGAGATGGAAGGAGAAAATAGCCCGACAGGGCTGGGGGAGCTGGGGAAGGGGGTTAGGTACTTCAAGTAATACGGTAAGGTCGGCCAGGATCCAAACGTGGCATACGGTTTTGCGCGGGCTGAGGTGTAGGTATGGGGCCGCTGGGATAGACTGGGCTGGACCTGAATGCAGCAAAGCAAGGACTTGGCTGAGGGAGGGGACAGACGGTGACCGCGCGTCCCAGCTCCAGGCTATGATCGCATAAGTCTGGGCGGGGGACAGGACCTTTTCCTCCAGGTTTTCGTTGGAGAATTGGTGCGATTCAAGTCGATTTTTCGGGGAGGACGGCTGATCTGGTGCCTGCCGTGCTTGCCATGGTTTGCTTGGGTGCTGTCGATGTGATGCAGGAAAGATGGTGTGAGCCACCCGCAAACTGGGGCCAATGACGTCAAACCGCCTAGCTCGGCATTGTAGTTCCCTTGGCTGCCCGCTAAGATAACCTTAAAATACCCAGTCGAAAACACTCCTTATCGGCTCCTATCGGACACAGGCTTCTTATCGGACTATCCGGGCGCTCTGCGACCCCTCCATCCCACCACCACGCGACAACCCGCTCCCGAGCGGCGGCGCCATTTTCCTCAACCCAAAAAAAAACCTGAGCGGTGATCTGATGTAGGCAATACAGACATCAAATACCAAAAGCCTATCAGCTGTAATTCTCCCAGCTGTTCTGTGCACAGTTCTTCGATTTTTGTAGAATTTACCGACACCCGCGTGCGCGCACTTTGCGAGTTTTTCTTCTTTTGCCAATCATGGCCCCCATTCCAATTACAATCATCACCGGTTTCCTCGGCTCCGGCAAGACGACGCTCATCCTCAATCTCCTCCCCCAGCTCAAGGCCGCGAACCCGTCCTACAAGCTCGCCCTCCTCAAGAACGAATTCGGCGACCTGGCCGTCGACTCCCAGCTGGCCTCCTCCAGCGCCATCTCGGGCGTCCAGGAACTCCTCAACGGCTGCATCTGCTGCAACCTCGTCGGCCAGCTCAGCGTCGCCCTCGCCGAGCTGCACGCCACCGTCCGCCCGGACCGCATCGTCATCGAGACGAGCGGCTCGGCTTTTCCCGCGACGCTGGCCCTCGAGGTCAACCGCCTCGCGCGCGAGACGGGCAACTACACCCTCGACGGCGTCATCAGCGTCATTGACACGGAGAACTGGAAGGGCTACGAGGACACGAGCTACACGGCGCGCATCCAGGCAAAGTACACCGACTTGATCGTCTTCAACAAGTGGGAGCTGTGCTCCGAGGACCGCTTCGACGAGGTCCTCGACCGGGTGGGTGACCTCGAGGTGGATATCCCCTGGGTCAAGAGCAAGAAGGGCTGGGTCGGCGCTGACCTTGTGTTTGGCGTGGATGGCGGTCTCGCGCAGGGCCTCAAGGAAGAGCACACGCACGATCACGATCACAAGGGAGAGGACCACGCGCACGACCATCAGACAGAGGTTGAGGTACTCTCAATCGAACTCAAAGGCCCCAAGAACGCCGCTGTCAACGTAGACAGCCTGCAGAAGCTCTTGCGCGCCGCGCCAAAGGACGAAGTATATCGCATAAAGGCCGTCCTGACCGCGTCGTCGACGGTGAGGGACTCGGACGAGGACTCTCAAATTCCCACGCCGCCGCACCCAAAATCTCGGTACATTCTCAACTGGGCCTTTGGTCGGTGGACTTTCACGCCCATCGCAGAAGGCGGCGCCGAGCATGCTTCCAGTGAAGGGGCCTTGCTGCGAATGACGATGATTCTGGGACGGTATGAGAGTGGCAAGTGGAAGAAGAAGCTCGAGACTGGATCATTTCTAGAAGTTGAGGGCGGCGAGGGCGAGTTGATTGTTACAAAGATCGCATGAAAAAAATGAGTAGACGAAAAGATGATAGAGATACATACTTACACGACATAAAAGGCGCATGTGGGGAGTTTCAAAGTGGTACTTTGAGGCATTGCAATGCGCAACGAGCAGAAAGCAGGAGTTAGTTGAGAGCGTAGAATTTAGATCAACCACCGCACTTGATTGTGCTATGAAAGTCGCAAAGTCTCAAGGTTCTAAGTAGGCCTCTGAGTTGCCAGCCCGTTCCTTGAACTATCAGTGCGGATGTCTCAATGCGAACGTTGACGTATACCCAAGACGGCCTCAACACCGAGCATTGCAGACAAGTTCAGTGAATTAATGTCGTTGTTTTGACGAGTGATGTTGATTTCTTTTTTAGTTTCGGCTTCTATGTTGTACAAACCACCGGGTATCTCACATATTTTTACACCTCTAGACTACAAAGTTGATTGTCTTGCCGCCACGAGCCAAGATGACTCTTCTCGGGGAAGTGACATCGAATTGACCTCCAGTAAACTTGGCCTTGCCCTCATCAGACTTGAGAACCTCCGCGACCATCCAGTCGCGTAATGCCTCACCCTCCAGACCAGATGGAGGGTTGGGAACTTCTACAACACCGCGCAGCTTTCCGTTGATCTGAATAGCCACTGGCTGCTTACGCGGCTTCAACAGGGACAACGTGTTGTCTTGCGCAGGGAATGTGGTTTCCTCAAAGATGGAACCGGATTCGGGATGCAAGAGACTCCAGCACTCCTCGGAAAATGCTGGTGCAACTGGAGCCATCATCCGAAGGAGAGCGGACATCGCTTCCCTCTGGACAAGTGGGCTCGCTCCAGTGTTCTCCTGAAGGGTATTGGTCAGACTCATAAGGTCCGAAATAATGGTGTTCATCGGATAAACAGTCTCGTAGGACTGGGTAATGGAACTAATTGTTCCTTGAACCGCTCTCCAAATGGCAGCGTCAGCATCCCAGACAGCCAGTTCCTTGTCGCCGAGAGAAGACAAGCTGTTTGAGCGCTCTTCGAAGTAAGCCACGATGGGCTTTTCTTCGGCTGATAACTCCTGAAGTTTGGCTGCATGGTCATGAAGCCTATGCAGCCAACGCGTGACTCCGGCGATTTTGTCCTCGTCCCAGTCTAGGATGTCGCCCACAGGCGCTTGGAAGAGAACGTGAGCTCGGGTCGCATCGGCGCCGTACTTGGATATGAACTCGGTCGGGTCCACTCCGTTGTACTTGGACTTGGACATTTTCTCAAACGACACATTTGCCGTCGCCCCCGTTGCTACAACTTTAGGGTTGGCAGGGTCCTCCAAGTCAACCTCATCTGGCTTTAGGAACTTCCCTGACGTGGGGTCGGTGTACGTCTTGCCGTGCACCATGCCCTGCGTGATAAGTCTCTTGAATGGTTCGTGGACTGTGTCAGCTTCACCAGAAGCAGGGAACAGTTCTGTCGTGGCCAAGAACTTGTAGATAAACCTGGCATATAGGAGATGCAAGATGGCATGCTCAATGCCGCCTATGTAAAGGTCCACCGGCAGTGATTCTGCTGCCTCAAGGGAGAGAGGCTGTGATGTGTTGTGAGGATCCGCGAAACGCGCGTAATACCAACTCGAGTCGACGAAGGTATCCATGGTATCTGTATCACGCTTTGCATGACCGCCACACTTAGGGCAGCTAGTGTTTACCCAATCTTCGGCTCTCTCCAACGGGTTGCCAACCTTTCCATCCGTCCAGTGCTGACTGACGTCAGGCAATGTGACCGGCAGCTGATCATCTGGAACAGGTACTGGGCCACAGGAGCCGCAATGGATGACAGGGATAGGCGTTCCCCAGTATCGTTGACGGCTGATCAACCAGTCTCTCAATCTCCATTTCTCGACAGGCTTGGCCAAGTCTGCTGCCTCCAGTATGCCTATGAGCATCCGGCCAGCCTCGGTGGAGGATTTACCCTTAAAAGGACCGCTGTTTGCTGTCATGACACCATGCTCCACAAACGGTTCGTTCGCAATCGCGGAAGTTGACTCGTCTTCCGAAGCCGCCAGCACAAACCTCACGGGCTCATCATAGTGATGCTCCTTCCAGAAAGCATTATCCCGCAGATCATGACCAGGAACACCCATCACAGCGCCTTCGCCGTAGTCGCCGAGAACATACGGCGCAACATACACCGGGATGGATTTCTTGGTGTCATCGGGAGTCTGCTCGTGATATGCCAGCGGGTTGACAGCCCTTACGTGGGGCAGCATATAACCGACCTTGGAGTCTTTAGGCAATGCGGGTAGAGTATCTAAGTAAGCTTGAAGCTCAGGGTCTGCCTTTGCTAATGATGTCACGATCGGGTGGGTAGAGGCGAGGGCAAGATACTGAACTCCAAACAAGGTATCCGGTCGCGTCGTGAAGACTTCGATAGCTGCGTGGACATCGTGGCCCATGGCCATGACTGGGAACTTGATGACGGCGCCAGTCGATTTTCCGAGCCAGTTTTTCTGCATGGCCAAGACCCTCTCGGGCCAAGCCTCATTCTTGGCGAGCGTGTCCAGATCCTTCAGCAATGCTTCTCTGAACTCGGAGATGCGGAAGAACCACTGCTTCAGCTGGCGCTTCTCAACCTTGGCACCGGATCTCCAAGAACATCCATTTGCGTCAACTTGCTCGTTGGCGAGGACTGTCATATCTACAGGATCATAGTTAACCTCTGCTTCGGTTTGGTAGGCGAGGCCACGTTCGAGCATCATTAAGAAGATCTTTTGGGTGTGTTTGTAGAAGTCCGGGTCGCAGGTAGTCAGTTCCTGAGAGACATCATGTCAGCCAAAGAAGAGATGGAGAGCTAGGAAACAAACCCTCTCCCAGTCCCAGCTGCCATTCATAACCTCCAATTGTTCCTTCATCTTGGCAATGTTAGTCTTGGTCCAAGTTGCAGGTGCGATTCCACGATCGATGGCAGCATTTTCAGCCGGAAGACCAAATGCGTCCCATCCCATCGGCAGCATCACGCGAGACCCTTTCATGGTGTGATAGCGAGCGAGAACGTCGGCAATTGTATATACGCGCAGGTGGCCAAGGTGCAAGGTACCGGAGGGGTATGGGAACATTGGAAGGACGAATTGGTCCGGCTTGCTTGAGTCATCGTTTGCCGCAGAAGCTTTCGAAGCGTCCCATTTCTGGCGCCATTTCTTGTCGAGAGCGGTAAAGTCGAGCTTGATATCAGCATAGCTCCGTCGTTGCGTCGCTTGGGCTAAGTACGGGCTTGCGAAAGACGGAGGCTGTCGAGTAGCTACTAGTGCTGGGGACGGTCGTGTATTCTTCGCCAAGGTCGCGATGGACCGACTGGACCAGAGGCGGCCAACATGTTTCGCGTGTATCAATTGCATTGGTACGATGTTGTCATGATCGTTGGGCAGATAAAGGTAGGTCGGTAGTGGTCGTTGGTGGAGGAGGGAAAATGCATCAAATTTAGAGTCATGCAACGGCGTCACGCTATCGCGGGTTGAAGCGAAGAAAGCAGTGGTCGCGTTTGCAGCTGCCGTGCAGCTCCATCAAAAACGGAGAGCTTTATGGACCCCTGCATCTCCGCCCCTACCCTGCGAGATTTTAGTGGCAGACTGGCAGGTGGCCCTGCAGGGGAACGTCATTTGTTCCGCACACCCCTGGGACATATCATCTGTGAAGGAAGGTGTTACGACCAACACCATGGCACGGGGCTCTGTCGTGATTGGGGAATCTGTGTTTGGATTTTGTGATGCATTGCAATTCTTACTATGGGCAAGGTAGAATTGGACAATATGTCAAGGGCACCTTTTCGAAACTATTAAGATGGTGCATTGAGGTTGTCAACAGAGATCGATTTTCTCCAAGGGCAACAGACGGCAGAAAGAAGGGGGCGGCGGAATAACTAAAAACCGTTTACGTGGCTGCTAACACTGTGTATACCGCGCCTAGCCGCACCTTGGTCGCCTCATCCGAAGTCGGTGATACAGTGCGGGCTGCTATCTCCAAAAAAGAAATTGCCCCGCCAAAATCATTTTCAATGTCCCGCGTCTTTGAATATCTTCGCGGGTGCACATCTAACTTGTTCGTTCTAGGGGAATGACGACAGCGCAAGCAAGCCAATCACGTCACATTTCGTCGGCTGAGACAAGGAGCTCTGTTCGATTGAGTCTTCTGTAGCCCCTTTGCTCGTTCCCTCATTCCTCATCCCCAAGCTCCCCACGTTACCTGGCGGTATCAAATTTCAAGACTCGTCCCCCGCCCTGCCCCTCCGTGGCGGTCTGATATCGACAAAGGAATCTCAAACGGTCTTAAACGCCGAGTAATCTTTCTACTCAACGCACAATCAAGGAGGAAAACACGTTGAATCCCTAAAATACCATCTCAAGCATTCTTTTTAAGATAACGAGCTTCAACTCGTCGCCCTCAAGATGGAGAAGATCACGGATAAGATCGCCGCTCTGCCGGCAGACGCCAACTACTTCTCCTTGGAGTTCTTCCCGCCGAAGACGGCCATGGGTCTCTCTAACCTGCGCGACCGTCTAGATAGAATGGAAAGAGCTTTGAGGCCTCTCTTCGTCAACGTCACCTGGGGAGCCGGCGGATCTACCTCGACGAAGTCTCTGGAACTGGCCGAGATATGTCAGAGAGAGCTGGGCCTCACCACCTGTCTTCATCTGACATGCACAAACATGAGCCGCAAGCTCATCGACAAGGCCCTGGAGGACGCAAAGGCCCTAGGTATCCGCAATATCCTCGCCCTGCGAGGCGACCCGCCGCGGAAGAACGAGTACCGCGACACCGAGGACTCTGAGACCGATGACGCCGAGGATTTCGTCTGGGCCGTCGACCTGGTCAAGTACATTCGCAAGAACTACGGCGACTACTTCTGCATAGGAGTCGCAGCCTATCCAGAGGGACACGCAGATGAGAGTCATCCTCAGGGACAGAGCTTCGAGCACGACCTCCCGTACCTGGTTGACAAGGTCCAGGCCGGTGCGGATTTCATCATGACCCAGCTCTTCTTCGATATCAAGGCGTACGAAAACTTTGAAAAAATCTTGAAAGAACACCCCAGCGGCGCCTTCAAGGACATCATCCTCCTCCCCGGCTTGATGCCTATCCAGAGCTACCAAATGATCAAGCGGACGACCAAGCTCAGCCACGCCAAGATTCCCGACAACCTCATGGCCCGACTGGACGCGGCCAAGGGTGACGACGAGAAGGTCAAGCAGGTCGGTGTCGACATCCTCAGCGAGCTCGTCGAGCAGGTCAAGGAGGTGAAGAGCAGGACGCCCGGCCCCAAGGGCTTCCACTTCTACACCCTCAACCTCGAAAAGGCCGTGTCCTTCATCCTCGAACGGACGGGCCTCATCCCTGACCCTAAGATCGAGGACGAAGAAGCTATTATCGACGATGGCCCGGGCATTCCCGTCCCCGTTGCCGTCCCCGCAGTCCAGCTCAACGGCCTCTCCCCGATACCTCACCCGGCCACCCGCACTCTCTCCAACGGACGACGGCCATCTTCAATGGGCTCAGACCCGCACAACCGCATCATCGTCTCCGGTTCAGCTTCAAATCCCGCGTACGAGACCACGACCGCCGGCCTCATGGTCTCGGAGCCCGTCAACACCCGCGCAAACACCCTCGCTATCTCCGAGGGCGTCGGCGCAGTAGGCCGCGAGGCGACGTGGGACGACTTTCCCAACGGCCGCTGGGGTGACGCCCGCTCCCCCGCCTACGGTGAGATCGACGGCTACGGCGTCAGCCTGCACATGTCCGTGACGCAGGCCATGCGCCTCTGGGGCACCCCCAAGACGGTCCAAGACATCAACAACCTCTTCATCCGCCACATCAAGGGCCAGCTCGCCGCCATCCCCTGGTCCGAGGAAGAGCTCCTCCCCGAATCCAACATCATCCAGCAGGAGCTCCTCGAGCTCAACACCCGCGGCTGGTGGACCGTCGCCTCGCAGCCCGCCGTCAACGGCATCCCCTCCCGCGACCCGACCTTCGGCTGGGGCCCTCAGCACGGCTTCGTCTTCCAAAAGGCCTTTGTCGAGCTCTTCATCCCTTCCTCGGACTGGGCCGGCCTCGTCGCCCGCCTCAACGAGGTGAGGGACAACACAATTTGCTTCTACGCCGCCAACGGCGCCGGCGACTTTGTCTCTTCGGACGCGAGCGGCGGCCTCGTCCTCGAGGGCACGGAGGCGAGCACAAACGCCGTCACGTGGGGCGTCTTCCCCGGCAAGGAGATCATCACCCCGACCATCATCGAGGAGGTCAGCTTCCGCGCCTGGGCCGAGGAGGCCTTCAAGATCTGGGGCGAGTGGGCCAAGGTCTACGGCAAGGGCAGCGAGAGCGAGGCGCTTCTGGAGCGGATAGGCTCCGAGTACTGGCTCGTCAACATTATACACCACGACTACGTCGAGAGGGATGCGCTGTGGAAGTTGTTGTCGGGTGAGAAGGAGAACTGAGGAGGTTTTAACGTATTTAGGATATTAACAAAAAAAACAACGGAGAAAATGAAAGAGGCAAAGGGAAAAAATAGTAAAGTGCACAAGGGCTTGGTCCTTCTATTTAGTTGCGATTACCCCTAGCCATGAGTGAAAGAGGAGATACCCGTCAATTCTTGCCTTCAATATCCGACTTGATGCATTGTGAAATCCCGTCGATCATGCTAGGTATCTAGAGATGACCGCAATAGACATCATGAGGTAATGGTCGGAACCCAATCTTTGGGATACCGGTACTGAGATAAAAATGTGCCATGGACTTATGGCAATCATCACTGAAAAGTGTGTAGTCACGGAAAAAACACGATGCCGAGATGTGCAAATCAAGTCGGCCTAGTGCCTTGGTATCTCATTGAGAATCTCTTCCACGCATATAGCTCGGTGAGCTCGGTGAGAAAAGGTCCATCTATCTATAGACGCATAGGGGAAATCCCACTTCGGTATCCTTCGTTTTGTTTTGTACATGCTACCAGTGGCCGATATCCATCCAGGATGAAGGAAATAGTCCAAGCCCAACGCCAAAATCCCAGTCCGTAAGAGGAGTTATCGATGCCACAACTCGGAAAAAAAATGTCAGAACAGCGGCATAAGAAAGCGGACCCCGGAATCCTTCGTATCCCAGGTCTTCCTTCGCTTCGCCAATGTAAAGCCAGCTCAGATTTCTCCGTCGGTGCCCATGAAGGAAGAGTCGTAGCCGCCGTTGGAGTTCACCATGCTCTCGGCGAAACTGAAGTTGAGCTCATCATTCATGTTGTTGACGGGATTGAAGATAGCTGCATCCATCGACTGCGCGAAGCTGTCATTTCCGGTGAAGCTAGCCATGGCGTCGGGCTGAATGATGGTCTGATGCTGAGTAACAGCCTCCTCAAAGGACGGATGCTGAACAGCAGCAGGCTTGGCCTCGGCGATGGGAGGAAGCTCGTAGCCCGAAGCATTGTTGGGGGTGTCTACCTCACTATCGGAGGTGGTGAGATCGACGGCAGCAGCTTGTGCAATAGTTGCAGCCGCAGCGATAGTAGCGGCGCGGCTCGGCGTTGCGCTGCGACGAGGAGTGGGTCTGTTCTTAGTCACACGGCCGTCGAGGACATTGTGGACGCGAGTCTTGGAGGGAGTGTCCTCGAGCGCGTTATAGTCGACGGCATCACTACCCTCCCCATCATCGTCAGACATGGGATCAGTCTTGATGGGCATGGTCTTCTTGGCCGTGGTAGAACGACCACCACCCGAGGCGCGAACTTTAGCACCAGACGGGGTTCGGGGCTTCCGAGGAGTCGAGACGTTGCTGCTAGTACCGCCGGTGAAAGTCAGGACAGACGCGGGGTTACCACCACTGTTGGCAGTCTGCTTAAGGGACTCAGCGTCCTTCTTAATGCCACGGAACTGGAACTGGATGCCGTCGGCCGTGGATTCGCCGAAGAACTTGGCAATCTCTGTTTTCTCATGTCAGTATACTTCCTGTCGAATCGTAGTAAAGAGACAGCGAAGTCGAGCAATGTATAGAAGGAAAGTTCGGCCAGGAAACTGATGGATGAAAGCGAGGAAATCAACGTAGAAGCAGAGGCGGCGGTTACCCTTCTTCTCCTTGGGAAGATCCACGGGGATGGCCTTGCAATCCACACCCTGCTCATCAGCTTCCCGAAGCACATATCCTTGGTTTTTAAGGGCTCTGAACCGATGGTTGAGAGCGTCCTTGGTCATATCCGAACCGTAGAACTTCTGGATGTCTGCCGTACGTCAGAAATGACGTCGACCATGGAGAAATGCAGAAGAAAACTTGATACAGACGAAAAAGAAGATTGGGCTGAACGGCAAGAGAGGAAACAGGCGTATTTCTTACCCTTGTAGTTCCATTTGACATCGGAGTGAGCGGC